GAGTGTTGTTCAGCATGGGGGTGAGTAGAAAATGAAGGCTAATCATGTTTTGGGTGTACTATTCCTTTAAACTCCTCCAGCATAGCATGAGAGAAACCTGAACACATTATTGGTTTATTACAAATGATTAGAAGCTCATATAATTTAACTGCACTTGGGAAAATAGGACTTAAATGATCTAATGCCAAAATAATAAAGTAAATACTTTAGAAGTAAGGTGCTGAACGTTGAGAAGGATTTAGGATTCATAACTTCCTGTGATTATGGATGGATAGGGTTGGGAATTGATAAGATTTTCACGATTCCGACTCTCTTATCGATTCGGTTTAATCACAAGCATTACTGTATAATTTCTGGAAATAAACTCATCTCCCCCTGATTTAAATAAACAAGCATCACCTTTCTTTCGCTACGTGAACTTGATAGCATGTTTCGTTACATCCATTGCAATAGCTAGAATCGTGTAAGAATTCCAGCTACCACTAGTTCTAATTAAACATGCTAGCAATGAAGAGCTGGATTAACGAGAAAGGCACACACCCATAATAACCCCAAAGAGACAAAGAGAGGTAGGAAACTGGTTTATATCCAGAAATGGCATCTGATTTACTAGGAACCACATTAAGCAAAGCCAGTGATATAAAACTAGCTACTTAGCACCAGAGTTGCCCTCCATGCTGGTCGTAACTTTAGCTTCTGTCCGGAAGCATCAAAAGCACGGCGTTCGTTAAAATGTACGCCATGTTGTGTGCGCAGGTGTTTCTGCATGTCGGATGTATTTCCTCCCACGGATGTTATTGCCACTTTGCAATGATTGCAAAGCGCCTTGTTTCCATCTTTCTCTTCTTTAAAATGAAGCCAAACTTTCCATTGAGCGCTTTTGTTTTGCTTTTCTAGACTTACGCCTAGTCACGTCGTACTTGCTTACCGAATGCAGAGTGTGTAACTTGTGTAAAAAAACGTGAAGTAAGTCGTGCCGCCTGGAATCGTTAAGCAAGCTGCCAAACGGTGCCATGGAATTGGAAAACACAGAACCGGTTCTGAACAGGTTTTCGATTCCCATCCCTATGGATGGAAGTGTATTATGATGTCACTGATGGCACAAATCTTTATTTTTTAGCTACATTTTGAGTAGAGACATGATGAGAAGTTAAAGCCCAACAACCATTATTTACTTTGTTTGCAGCGGGGGGGAAAAAAAGGTAGAAAATCCTTTAACAAAACAGTGTTGAGAAGGAAAGTAAAGAGGATTTAAAGTGATTATCCAGCAGCTCCCACTTTACAAAAGGACAAACCTTATGTTGGAGATTTTGCTTTAAACTGTTGAAAGCTTATAATGACTGAAGTCCTGAAATCAATCAAAAGGTATGAATAGAAATAGAAATTCGTCCTTCTCTAAAAGAGTCTGAGCTATAAGAAAAATGCTCCATGTGGGGATTTTACGGCTAGTTTGATTTACTAAGTTGCTAATACTTGGAAAAGATTTGTAGCTGTTTGAAAATTTGCTTATAGAGATGCACCGATCAATCAGATAATTTCCATCCTATCAGTAAAAATCAGCCTTTAAAGGCCTTCCAATGGCTCAGTTTGACTCTTTGTTCGTTTACATCATATTTTCTAACTGTTTTGTGCTCATAAACCATTTTGTTCCTGTACACATCACTGCTCTTCATTGGTTTATCATTCTTTCCATTTATTTTGGCTCTTCTCTCACCCGAAACACTAACTAGTTTGCACATTAAGTATTTTACCACATCAGAATAGTTTACAGTGTCTCTTTAAGGTAAAGAAACTTTACCATATTCCTATTGATCTTTGGTTGAACCGTACGTGTTGCATCAGTTCCGTGGTTGTGACTAATCGGAGCTTATTCACTGTAACCCTGCAGACTTGTGAAATCAAAGTGTGTTGTAAAGCAGGAAGTAGAAAGAGCTTTATTTTATTTCCTAACTTTACGCTTTTCTGTGCAGAAACTACAGAGGAAAACCTGGAATGTGTGATGGTAGCATTAGAGCAGAGGGAGAGGAAAAAAACAATGGCTGCCTGCCCCTCATTTCCACAAACCCACCATGGAAAAAGATGTTTGTTTACAAAGCTCAGGATGAATCTGACTTCCAGAAAGACGAGCTTTGTTTAAAACACCTTTCACCTGAAATCCAAGCCCTGAAAACTCTGCCCTTACAGTTTAACATTCCTCTCATTTTTCAGTGACACCGCAGCTTTTGCTGAAATGATTATAATTTTCCCCCTATTGTGCATTTAGGCGCTCTTAAATTCAGTTTAGTCAGGAGCGCTTTGTGGTGATCTGGGTCGGGCAGAGATCCAGCGGCCCATAATAGACGTTTAAAGAGGGGAATGCCTCTCCGCAACACAACGTCGTAATTACAGATGCGGCTTTTCCGTCTCCCTGCAGCCCAGGACGACTTTTATGGATGAAGCGAATCGAAGCGAAGTCTTTGCATGAAGGACGTCTTTCTGGAGCGAAAACTTTCCAGAAACGGAGCAGGCGTGTAGGTTTCTGAATAACCTCCTTATTCACGCCTTTCCATCAGTGGCTGCTTTATTTTTAGAGAACGACTCAGACCAGCGTGTCATTGTTGCCTATTTCTGACTCCTGAACATTGTATTCCCTCCTAATGACTTCCAGCACCCAGAGGGCTGAGGATTACCGAGGCCGTCTCTCACTTCCGTTCGGTTTTAAGTCACACGTTTGCCCGTTTGCCGCTAACTGGAGCTGCAAATGTGCGTTTTTGAGCAGTGTTGTGGTCAGGTTTTTATTGGTTTAATGTTCAACGTTAATGATGCCCTTTGCACCAACTTCCTTTTAGTTTCTTGGTATTTAAGAAAAGGTGGGATCATGGCTCCAGGTGGTGCTCTTACTTTTCAGGTTTTATGTGAGGAAAGTAGAGAATTCTGCCCTGTATTCTCGCTCAGATATAAATATCTCCATTAAACAAAACAAATATGGGTCAGCCTGCACTGTCTTCCTAT